TGGGAGCGAGGAAATAATGATGATAAAGGATAAATTAAATGAAATTAGAAGAAATGCTACAGTAAAGAGGATCGACAGAGCCAACATTTTGCCTCATGAAAATGTTAGTAAAACCAACCTCTGGCAAGACTGGGAAATTTTAAAATAAGAGTTTATACAAATTAACATGAGACTATCTAGAGCAAATTTATTGCAGATTTAGAAGTTAGGTCAGGGTGGTGAGTGCACAGATGTTTATTATATTAATTCTTTATGCTAAAAATACTTCACAATGAAAAGTTCATAATCTTAGGCATTGTGCCTTAGTCCAGGCATTGCCTATTCCCTGTCTGCTGTAGCATGCTTTAACAGGTACCAGGTCTCTCCTATTCTTGTGAATCTAGCGCCACTGACTCATACATTCCTGCTTTGTACATATTTTGTAGAAAATTGTAATCCTGTTCGTTGTAATCCTGCAGTGGCAGGGGCAAAGTGTGAAATCAACAGAATGAATGCCTCTACCAAAGGTTGAGGAGAATAGGAATCCTGTCCAAGTGTGGTCAAAAAAGCCAGATGCAAATTGGCCAGAGGTGGTCTAGGAACAGCTTCCATAAAAGACACAGGCTTTCTTGAGGCCTCTTAGCCTGGGCTATGACAAGGTTGTCCAATCACATTTACTTATCTGGTTGATGTTATTATTCATTTCTTTGAGATGGCAGTTCCTAAGCTTTAGTATATGTGTGTAAAAGTAGGTTGATTTGGCTTGATTTGAGACACCAACACACTTTCATGAAGACTGAGTGTTTGAACTGTGTGTGCTTGGCGGATACATCCTGGGTCCTCGGCACAGGCAGTGACTTCCTAGAAGTTGTTTCTTGCTCTAAAAAATGGTGGGTTGCAAGAAGAGAAAAGACATTTTGTTGAGGTTAAAATGAATGTAGACTCAATATACACTTTTTACTCTTATTCCATTTAAAACAACTGACTTCCTCTGGCAAGTTTCCTTTCATTTGAGTAGTGTTTATTCAACATATTCAGACTTTTTTAAAAAAAGTTTATTGCCTATGATTCTTAATCCTGATAAGCATACCACTGTTCTAAAATTTATATTGTGAGGAAAATTATGTCATCAGTTTCTTTTTTCTTTTGATATTTCCCTTTTTTGGCTGAAAATAAATGACCTGCTTTTCTTATGTCCCAGAGTTTTGTCCCTTTTCTTTTTTAAGAAAAAAACCAACCTTTGTTTTATGATTTTAGCAATGAGTTTGTGTATAGTTTGGTATGAGGTCTGTAATTTTTATAGGATAGCATTTTTAGTCATGGCCACTTATATATTAGTGATCTCTTCTTCACATGGGTGTGAGAGTTGGAATGTACCATGACTGGGTCCATACAGAGAAGGTGCTGCTATTTCCTTGAGCCTCTGCTGGCATTATGGGCAACATAAAAGAATGTGTCTGCCATTACCATGGGTGACTCGAGTGGCAGGCCAGAGAGGGTTCCCTTGAGAAGGTGATGAAAGGTATGGACAACTGCTTTGGTCCCCTCTGACTGGCCAGGCCTTAGAATTAGGTTGGGAATACTGAGTTTACCAGGCACATTATTTTTTTAATACTATTGC